CATTTCAGCTCACTAATGCCTAGGATATCAATCTTCATGTGTTCCATTTCACTTTTGACAACTTCCAAATTTCCTAGACTCATACTTCATACATTCCATGTTCCGATTATTAATGGATGTTTGCAGCTGTTTCTCCTCAATTTGAGTGGTGCCACATCAGCAAATGGAGGTCTTGAAAGCTTTACCTTATCCATATGAGTGAGGCTGGTTTTGCTCTGATGATGCAGCTCTTTCCCAGTCCTGTTTTGAGAGCCTTCTAACCTAAGTGACTCATCCTCCTCCTCTGTATTAGGCAATGTTTCCGGACTATTCATAAAGTTGCACAGTAATATATCAGACAGTGTTTCCCTGCTATTCATAAGGTTTCCCTGGCCAATTCTTTGAGAAGTGGATGGCCTCTTCCTTCTTCCTAGTCTGTCTCAGTCTGCAAGCCGGGCTGATACCTATGCACCACATACACCCCGCTGGGTTTGAAACACCAGTGGCACAGCCTCAAGACCCACAGCAACCTGTCACCACAGTAGGACAAACCGACAGACAAGTTTGTTTCCCTTAGCTGTTGGAAACCTCTCCAACCTCTCTACCTGGATCCCTGCAGCTGACTCCTCGCTCTGTCCCAGTCCCCCTCTCCTTTTACTCTCCTTTCTCCCACTTTCCCCCCTTGGCACTTGTTGGGCATGGCCTGAGTTCCCTCTCCTCACCTGGATCCCTGCAGCTGACTCCTTGCTCTGTCCCAGTCCCCCAGCCTTTTTCTCTCCAGCCTTCCACTTTCCCGCCTTGCCGCTTGTGGGGTATGGCCTGGGTTCCCTCTCCTCGCCTGGATCCCTACAGTTGACTCCTCTCTCTGTCCTGGTCCCCCTATCCTTTATACTCTCCTTTCTACTGCTTTCCCACATTGCCGCTTGTGGGGCGTGGCCTGGGTTCCCTCTCCTTACCTGGATCCCTGCGGCTGACTCCTTGCCAAAAGGCATATAGGTAGTAAATGGGGAGTGAGGATTCAAACTTAGATGTCTGACTCAAAATCCCCCTACTCTTTTCCCCATATGATCCTATTCAACTTTTATGCTTATGACAATTACAAAAAAGAAAAAAAGTGCACTGAAAGGCTTTTAAAATGAGAAAGTATTATTAATATAAGGTAGTAATTTGAAGCATTAGGGTAACAGAGTAAAAAGAATCAATTTCTTTGTTACTAAAGGAGTCTAAAATTTACAACTAAACAAGTATTATGATAATTAAATGTAAGTCCCAGATGGGAAGACAATGGACATTGGACCTGAAATATCCATAGTTGACTTGGGAGGTTTTCTTTGATGCACTCTGCATTTACTAACATCAGAAATAGGTCTGTGGGTCAGATGGTGAAGAACTCAGATTCCATGATTTTTCAGAATTGCTAAAATTCCCTTAATATGACTGTCACTAATAATAGACTACTGGAATTATGGGTTATTTTATTAGTAGTACATTCAGTATTATACCAAGGAAGGCTTAATGCTCTGCTGAGGTTGCCACATAGTTTTTCCTGAAAGGGTGGGGGGTGTCATGTGAAGTTTTTTGTTCACTCAAATAGGATCGTATTATTCATACTGTTCTGCACTTGCCTTTTTCAGTAATGAGGTATCTTAGATCTTTCTACTGCAGAATCATGTTAATGGCTGCAATGTTTAATGCTGTGAAAACACCAATATTTATTTGAGCAGCATCCTATCGGTGGACTTCATATGGTTTAATTTTTTTGCTTTTTCAAACATGCTACAGTGAATTGTACATATATTATAGAATGGTGTGTTAAAGTTGTATGTCAGCTTGGTTGGGCCTGGTTGAGTGGTTGGGCAGCCGATGGTATTTATTCCCCCAGGAGACTGGCAATCAACTCCATGGTGGGATCTACCACAAGCAGGTGAGTAGCTGCCTTTGGGTATGTGGTATGCTTCCCATATATAAGAAACAGCTTTGGGAATGGTCTTTAGCTTATGGCATGTTTGAACCCTGCATGTAGCCATGTCATTGTTCAGCAGCCCCTTGGGACTTACAATGGACTTGAAATTAATGGCCTCCCTGTGGTTTGGTAACAAACATTGAGACTGTGTCATTTTATTTGTCGACCTTGGGCTTGTTAGCCTCAGCAGCCAGTAGCTGCCTGAGTGAAGAGATGCCTCTAGTTTCAGTGGGCTGGGAGCAAGAGGCAGAGCTGAAGCCCAAGGTTGAGGGGCTTTCACACAGCCCCTAGAGCCTGGCACGTTGAACTTGGATTTAAAGCCTCCTGAACTGTAAGAAAATAAAATGTTCAAGCCATCCCATTTGTGGTATGTTCTTGTTAGAGCGACACTAGGTAACCAGAACAAGTAGATTCCTAGAAGTGAAGCTGCTGAGTGGAAAGTGAGGGAACCTCTAATTCAGAGATTTTTACTGTTTTAAGATCACTGTCTCATACCTTCAAATAAAGAACCAAATTGTTTACAAATAACAACCTAGCATATTATTTTCAAACATGAAGTAATAGTCATCCATATTAAAAAAATAAATCCAGAAAAATTCTTTTATGGCTAACAAAATAAACAATCCCAGAATCCCATGCTATATTATTAGATCCAAATAGAAGTGATAAAGAAAGTGATATAGCCTGTTTTTAATTAACAGATCTTTTAGCTTGGTAATTAAATCTGTTGTTGAAAACAGAAAGCAGAATACATACTGCTGCACGAACTGCATGTTTTAGGAGTTGAAACAGTAGTTTGTCTCTGTATGCAGACCATGCAAACTGTATAACTTGAGCTGCAACATTTTTCTTAACTCTGAGAGAGAGAGAAAGAGGTTAAGATTTATGCAGTAACTCTCATTTTTCTAAAATCCTGGGGATTTATGCTTCCTCCTCCTATACCTCCCTACCCCAACTCCAAGACTGACCTAATGAGAAATATTCAGATGTGGTAATTGGAACTGGTCATTTGCAGAATATAGTCTAAATGAGGATATGAAATACTGGAGAATATTTATCTTGAGATTAAAAAATGCCTCGACCAAAACTTTATCATTAAAAGGCATAGTATAGACAAAAAGTGTGAGACATTCTTGATTTCTAAAAACTTGTGACATAAAATGATTCAACTCCTAGTTAGATGTTAATAACACTGTCCATCTAGTTCAAGTGCTATGAAAATGAAATGTGGAATAGTCTAAGTTGCAGTATGCCCAATTCTCTTTCTGGAGCAGATGACCATGCTCTTGAAACTCCCTCTCTGAATCTTTGCTTGAACATTGGTGGTTAGGTCAGATAATTTATTCTATTTTCCACTGTGTCCCAGCACTGGCAGACTGTCATTACCTCTCACAAGACTATGTGCAAAGAGAGGTACTCCTGCATAATGCCATGATATTCTGGTGAAAAGCAGTGTATAAGATGTAGAGGAGAAAGGGCTTGAAGTATGGAAACAAACCTTTGAATCCTAGCTGATGCCATTTATTAGTTGTATAACCTTCTGAAAGTCACTTAAATTCTAGCAATTGGTGCTTCTTCACTTATAAAATGTAATAATAAGACTGATTCACAAGGTTGTATCAGGTTCAAAAGAGATAGATGTGTGTTAACATGCTT